ATATGAATTGATAATGCAATGTTGGGCTGTTAGTCAGAATACCTCGTTATGGTCAGGGCTAGTGTTTAGCGTAGACCAGGAGCAGCAACACAGACAGGGATGGACGGGTTTCAATGGTCTTATTCAACCGGCATACTGGGTGGAGCGGAGCGGACAGCAGAACAGGCAGGTGAAAAGGCAAAGAGACCGGGGACACGAGGCAGGCAGCGACTCTGGAAACAAAACTGAGTAGAGGGCCTGGACACACAGGAGAGAATGGTCAGGCTAAGAGGGCAGGCCCGGTACAATCCAAGTAGAGCTATGTAGTAACAAGCCAAAACACTGAAACGAGCGACAAGAGTTACCCACGCCGTTGCTGAAACAATCTGGCGATGAATGGAAGTGAGACCGGGTTCTTGCGGGCTGAGGGTGGTGAGTTGATTGAAGGCGGTGAGACGGTGCACGGTGAATTAATGAGAGGCCGCACTCTCATCGAGACACACAGGTAAGAGGAGGGTAAAGGCGAGTAGGAGGGGAGGAGAGCCATGACACCGATTCCTCTTTTTAAAGTAAAATCATTACGTTATTATTACACCTGCACAGTAATTAGTTTGCCGCAGCTGGGCAAAATATCTTACTTTCTGTTACTCCCCACAGAATTAGTAATGGTCCTTTCCCCAATAACTTGATGGATAAAGGTTTTTGTATGCATTAACACAACCAGTGAGGTTGGGGTAACTGTAATATTATTACTAATTGTATTGAGTAATGTTGAGTTACCGTACTAGTTTAGCTTGGGAAAGTATTTTTCTTGTACGATTGGGTCCCAACATTGATGCATCGACGCAATTAAATGATTCTCTTACATGCAAAGTATTTTTCAGAGCTTGTATTTTATCAGGCCTCTGTGATAAAATTGCTTCATAGTTCTTTAAGAGTACCCAGTGGTGCCTGCTGACACTTTGCAAATATAGTGAAATAGACACATAGTACGATCATTTTATTTTATTTTTTTGTAAATTGTGTTTGTGTTGTGTGAACGGCATGGAGCTGAACCTGTCTGATCTTCTCGTTTTTATTAATTCAATTCAATTTTATTTGTATAGCGCCAATTCATAACAGAGTTATCTCAGGACCTTTCTTCAAATACAGAGTCTAGACGCAGAGTGAGAGAGAGACAGAGCAGACAGACCAAGCCGAGCCGCACCAACAGTAGCAAACTAGCACTAATAGTAGTGAACGGTGACTGAACATGAGAAGAATGATGACACACAACAGCAACGATGGGGCATGAGGCAGGCGCAACAGCAACAATAGTAACCGTTAGCAACTATAATACTTATAATAATAACTAACACAAAGATCAGATGATATAGCAATTGAGCAAGTAGGACCATAGGCAGGAGGCCACCAGGATCCATGAGAACTTGCGAGACGAAAACACAGAACTCCGGGGAAGAATTGAAGTTAGTTAACACTGCATTAATGGGACATTGATGAAAGTGCAGCAAGAAGAGAGAGAGGAAGAGAGGAGCTCAGTGCACATGGGAGATCCCCCGATAGTCTAGGCCTACTAGCCAGATAACAAGAGATGGTTTAGGAACTCCTGACCAGCTATATAAGCTTTATCACAAGAGGAATGTCTTCAGCATACTCTTAAATGTGGAGAGGGTGTCCTGCTCCGAACCAAACTGATTAGCTGGTTCCACAGGAGGGCTTGTAATGAAGGTTCTGGCTCCCCTGTTTCTACTTTTTAGAGACCCCTATAGTGGAAACTCACAAGACTTGGGCATTTACAGAGAACGCGTGTTCTAGAAGTATACTTGAGNNCCCAATGCTGTGCATCAGTGTGTGAATGTGTATGAATGTGCTAGTTTCTGTTTGATGGACTTTGCCATCGCTAAGTGAATGTGTGTGAAAGGGTTAATGTAGCACATAGTGTAAAAGCGCATTGAGTGGTCGGAAGACTAGAAAGGCGGTATACAAGTACAGGTCCATTTACCATTTAGCATTTAGAGAGGCAGGTAAGTCTCAGTTATTGGATGAAAATTTTAGAAAAAGAAAATGTTGGTGGGTGCCACTTGTGGACTCATTGGTGCTCCCATGTTTAAAAAAACACTGTAAAAGTGCCCTCTTGGATGCCCCTCCAGTGGAGAAAACATGAGGAAGTGCCCTCTAGGGTGCCCTTCCAGTAAAGAAAACATGATGAAGTGCCTACTAGGGGGGCATTCCAGTGGATAAAACATGTTACAGTGCCCTCTGGGTGCCCTTCCAGTGCACAAGACGTGAGGAAGTGCCCTCTAGGGTGCCCTTCCAGTAGAGAAAGCGTAATCCTAACTGCTAACGACTAAGCTGTTTCACCATAAACGCAACACAACTTTCTGCGTAGTGGCAGCCTTTTTATTTTTTCCGCTCCTGACCCTCAGACAGCCGAGTCCATCACTGTGGGATACATTTATTTTATTAATGTGTGCAGCCATGTGAATTAATTTTTATATATTTGTATTGTAACATTTAAGTAAATAAACTAGAAGACAATGAATAACTAGCAGTAAGAACACAACACTGTTGTTAAAGTATATTAAATGATAAAGTCTGGCAGTTGAAATAACAATTAGGGACCTTAATTTTACACTTTTCTACTCAAAATTAGGAATTACGCATAGTCCACCCTTGACATTATGCAACTGCCTTGATAATACACAGATGACACTAATCATGGAGCTGAAACTTTCAGTCTTGATGGGTTGGTGTCATATTCCTGGCAAGCAAAGGTTTACTGTTGATTTAGCACACCTGTATATAGTGTGACATTTACTATTTATGCAGAACACAATCATTGCTTGCTAAGATGCAATCCCTTGAGTATTATTAAATAGGCCCTGTGTATGTGCATGGCATATTTATTCCCTCTCAGGTTGAGAATGCTGTCACAGATAGTTATTATGATTTAAAGGTGTTCCAAGCGTCTTGTTGCCACTGACAGTACTTAATGTGTGAAAACTGCCACAACTAAAGGAAAAGCATGAGAAAACAAAGCATCAGAAACAGGCAAATGTCCTGCTATATTTTAGTGAGGCGCTAAAGCAACCTTGACCTTTTTGTTGACACCCTCTAATTTGGCCTGAGAGGTAATTAGGTGGATGATGGATGTCTTGCTCTTTTATTATGTTGATTCATTCACTGCATCTCAAACTTTCTGGTTTATTTTTATAATGCTCCATCATGGGCACTTTGAGTACTAACAATCTTTTATAGAGACTTTAATTGTGTTTAATGTGCCTATATATTTGTATATTTGTTTTACAACCTAGAATTTAATGTGTATTTTTCCACACTGATCAACAGAGAAAGATTCTTTATCGTTTAAGTAAAACAGATTAATGATAGAAAAGTGATAGAATACAAAATACCTGTTTGCATGTACTGACATAAATCATCACAGGACCAGCTGATTGGTTTTTAGAAGCCACATCATTAGTTAAATATACAACACCTGTGTGTAGTTGAGGGGTTTCAGTTACTTGTAATGTGACTGGTAACCTATGGCTTTAGGAGGCGCCACTCTACAGGCAAACAGCAAGTCTGCTCCATTTCAGTGCACCACAAAACAGCCAGTTCTGAAACTGCTTAAATACAGTATAATCTGTCTGCTATGTGCTCCAATTAAGGGTAAAATAACAGTACTTATATAGCGCCTTTCTAGTCTTCTGACCACTCAAAACACTTTTACACTACATGCCACATTCACATTCATACAGGAATTCCAAAAGCCAGAAACTAATTTACACACATTCATACACCATGTATAGCATCAGGAACAATTTGGGGTCCAGTATCTTGCTCATGGACACTTCAACATGAAGCAGCATGATCCGAACCACCAATCCTCTGATTAGTGGATGACCCGCTCTACCTCCTGAGGCACCGCCACCCGGGAAAGCTTACAGCACCTGGTATTCCCAGGCGGTCTCCCATCCAAGTACTAACCAGGCCCGACCCTGCTTAGCTTCCGAGATCGGACGAGATCGGGCGTGCTCAGGGTGGTATGGCCGTATACTAGTCCGTCTGTTCAGTCAGAATGCAAAGCACAGAGGCATGATTGTATTATGAAGTCAATTAGGAGGTCAACAGTCACCCATGGGTGTTGTGAATTAAGGCCAAGATGCCTCAACACTGTTTGAGTGAAACATCAGATTTATCTGGAGGTTGGATGACTATTCAGTGTGAATGCACAAGAGGAAACAGAAGAGTGTAAATAAAAATAAATAATAGGTAAAAAACATAAGAACATAGGGTGAGTCAGCTTATCAGCCTTAGTCAGAAAGTCGTGAGGTCAGACTGAAAACAAACTTTTTAAACATTTCTAAAGATTTTAAAGATGGTGCATGCTTGTGTTTTTTCTGGGCTGTAATGCTTTAACTCTGAACAAATAGCTCCAAAATAAAATAATATGGAAGTTCTGTAGTTAATGCCAAAGAAACAACGTAAAGCGGTGAACTTCTAAATATAGCATACACTATTTTTTTGGACCTCTTTGCTTTTTGCTCCGATGCAAATAACATTTGTTTTTCTGCAGGCCCCCATCCACTGCTTCCATGCAATCTCTGTCTACTGCAGGTAATACACTGACCATGTAGTTCACTTAAAAAAACTCAAACCGTTTTCTAGCATTAGCTAACACCTACCCATAAACATACATACAAACATATGAAATTGTATGTATGAACTATGGGTGAAAAGTTTTATCATCTTCACAGCTGTAACTCATGGCACTCCCTCACCCACACAGATCAATGCCTATTGGTCAAACTGATCAGGGATCAGATTTGATTTGATTGCATTTTCCCTGTTGCTTTAATGAGACAGAACAAATTGCTCGCTCAATTATCTGTTATAGTGTAACTTTAGGACAAGGCCAGAAGAGGCGGATGTATTAAGAGAGTCAGACAGTAGGTGAATATTTCCATACACTGCTTACAGTTACACAGAGGGAGGAGTATAGAGTGTGTGTGTCAACATCTGGCTAGAATGAGTCTTAAACCTCCTCCAGAGGTAGTTTAAACAGTTTTCAATCTGTCTTGAACGCTTCTTGGATGCATTTCCACTTTTTAAAGATCAGAAAATGAGCTGATTCAGCCCAGATGCACAAAATGTAAGTGGGGTATAGAAGTAAGCCTAGTAGTAGTTTGACTGCCAGGTTTCATTTCTGCAAGAAGTATACAGTCAGCTACACCTGCCTGCAGTTCACCTCACCTGGTGCGACGCTCAGGAATCTGACTGCAGGTGTGCTGATGAGGAACAGTCCTCCACTTCCTAGCCTCCAACACCATGGCCTCTGCATCCACCAGGCCGAAACCATACACGTGGCTGACTGTAAGAAAAGACAGTGATTACACAACAGCAATGTGAAGAGAGTAATTATGCTTCTATTATTACCGAAGGCTTCATTTTTGTAGGGTACAAAACAGTCAATGTACTATGTTAGTAATAGAAGAATGCAGTATGCCTCTATGTCCGGCAGCATTGATCATCCAGTCGTCAGCTTTCAGGTGGACTGGTCTGGATGTTTTCACCAGAAGATGTTGCACATCCCTCCATGTCAGCAAAAGGCTGTAGGAAACACAGACACAGCTCATCTCATTTGTTTAGACAGACCAGCTAGTGACCTTTATCTTAAATAGCTTTGTTTGGCATTTGACAAATAGCAGGGTAATCACAGTAGTTACCAATGATACTAATCAAGGCTCTGTTCCATTCAGGTCAAACAGAGTCAGGGTGCTGCTGTTGCACATGTTGGCTTGCTGAAAAGGCTCTTGGGTTTTTACAAAACAAAAGCAAAGCAAGGCAAGTCTGGCATCTGACACAGTAAAATAATATCTTTTAACCTGCAAGACAGGAGAAGACAAAATCTCTATCAGGCAGCCTTGAATGAAGATAGAGTTACTAGGCTTGGATTTCTGTTTTCTATCCTTTTTCTTGCCTCTTTTGGCTATATGAGAGTTAACAACCACCTGCATTAAATTAGTATAAGTCTTGCATGCATGCTCTGAAGAAAGCTTATGGACAAAATGCGTCAGCAGTGATGTTTTAATACAGTGTGAAGATTGCTTTGATGGTGTGCCAACTTTTTATACTTTGTTAAGTTTGTGGTTCTGACACTGCTGCCCATGCACACTGCAGTTAGAAATACTGCAGTTGCCACAGCCGACTGGTAAAAGATTTTCCCACCAGTCCTTTTCCTGTGAGAACAGTCCCTGTCAAGTAGATCATATTTGAGGGTAAGGCGATATTTGTGTTGAAAAAGTACAACCACCCTTGAAATTGATACGTTATTTAAATCCTAATAAGTGGAAGCTTATGAGTCTAATAGATATATCAGAGTCACAGTTGTCACATGCTCTAGGTGAATTTCATCAGACATCTGAACAGACGACATTTTTTTTTAGCTAATTAAGAGAAAATACTTTTGGCGGTATAACCAGCAGCATAGAGATACGATTGTCTTAGCACTCCTGGGTTCGATGTCAAGAGATGGAGAAAGAGAGCAAGGAAAGAGAGAGGACCTGTGGTGAAGGAGAAAAACAGTGTGACAGAGTAAAAACACTCAACTGACTTGGCTTCCAGGGCGAGAGCTATGATTCCTGCCACAATGGGAGCAGAGACAGAAGTGCCAGTATGACCATCAGTGCAGTGCTGTCGCAGGTCAGTGGTTACCTGCAAGGGAGCCCAAACATAGTCCAGTTGTAAAGAGTCATCTTGCCCCTGTTACACTAAACCATCTGGGAAGTCATCATTGCAAACTGTTTGGAAAAGGGCAGGCACTTTCAAAAATACTCAGCAGGTGATTGGATGAACCATGTGTCTATCACAATCTATCATGGGCAAACTTCAACCATTCAGATCAATGAAGCCGTAATCCAGTCGGGAGAAGAGAGAAGAAATATTTTCTGTGGCAAAAAGCCTTCTATGCCGTTCTTTGCTCTTCTTCTCCAGTTCTGATAGAATTGATACTAGCAGCAGCTATACTAACCTGTTTAGCAGCCACCGTTGTCCTTTTCAAACAGTCACTCCTCACTGCACATTCCCAGTAGTTCCTTAAAGGAAACTGATTGGTCCAAACCACTGTGGTTCAGACAAGCACATGGCTTGAAGCTTGGTAAGATGGATTTATTTGACTTTGCGAGTTCATCTGCCATCTGCAAGGTAATTGGATCTTTTTTGGATACAGGTCCCTGTCGTTCAGTAATAATACGTCTAACTCTGTAGACTTGTTTAACATCATTGTTCAATTATTTGATTTGTCTTGATTGAGATCCTTCTTTGTTCAAAGGCCATGATCAGACAGCTTTCACACTGCTTGTAAAAAAGTATGACAGGTGTTGGAAGTTGACCCAACTTAGCCAGCCTCCACCACATGCATTTCACTGGGGAGCTTGTTCTCTCCTCACTCTGGTTAGTTTTACACAAGCCAAAGCACAATATTTACACTGAGGAAACGGGCCACGAGAGACTGGACCCAGCTCCAGAATCTCACAGTTCATTGTTCACTGGAGCAGGGTGCTGCACTTTAGTGGGGCAGTCTGTTAACAGTCTATTATTTCTGTTCAATTAGTCTTCTTTCTCTTATTTTCTATATCCTACTCTGCACATAATGTGTGAAGCAGTCTAAACAAACACATCCTCCACTCCAACTCTCAAATTACACCTTTATAATAACTTTTTTTTTTTACTTTTTATCCACAGGTTACAACAAGATAGTGGTTGGTCTATTCAACAGTCAAATGACTAGAACATGAACACGTTATATGGAAGATGAAGAACCCTGGGGCATAAGCCACATTTGACCAACTTTACAGGAGAGTAATACTAAAACTGATAATATATATTATATATATTCTTTTTTTTTCTTTCTATCTTTTAAGTGCACATTGTACTTTTACCATTTGAAATGTATTCATTTAATATATGCAACTCATTTTTATTCTCACCTAACACATATTTTATACTTTATGTCTGTCTGAGCTACAGTTGATTAAACAGCCATTTATCCAGTACTTACAATCTTCCTCTCGTTAAACTCTCCACTGCTGTAGGTTGTGGCCATGATGGAGCTGCAGACCTCTAGGTACCAGGGCTTGTTTCCATTCTCTGTAGTGCTGGAGATGGATATGGTGTAGATATTGCTGGTGTAACCATCACATGAACAGTGATCACCCTGCCGACCTCCGTTACCCGATGCCCAGACAAAAATTGACCCCAGGCCTTTGCGGCCCTGTGTATGGAAATACAAAGCCACTCAAACACCAACCATACATACAGAAGTCTGCTCAGAGATGTTTTGTTTTTTCTTTGTGACTGATCAAACCTTCTTGATGCCTTGCTCAAAAGCCTGCTTAGTTAGCGGCCCAGGGCCATCAACTGTCTTGCCATCATCTTTTGGCCCCCAGCTGGCACTGTAGATGTCGATGTAATCTGGCCGGATTCCCAGGGACTTGGCCTCTACTATATCAGTCACATCCCCATCCAGCATTCGTATCCCTGAGTCCAAGGTAACATCAATCTTAACACACTGAATTTGTTTCAAATGGAATGTATATACATTATAGCTATATAGGGCACCCAGTCTTCCCTTCATCTTTATCAGATTACATTTACAGAGCATATTGTAAATGGGCTAAAGGCACCATACACAACATAACAATATAGATAAGATCCCATATAGAAAAGTGTTTACTTAAAAATATGATATTTGCTGGAGTGTAGAGGTCCAGTTTGTAAATGGTAAATGGACGTGTACGTATAGCTTCTTCCGACCACTCAAAGCGTTT